CTAGTAGAAGATAGGCAAATGGCAAGCAGTCAATAGAACAGATCTGGGTCATTACTCATACAGGGGGGAGGAAAATAAATTGTTAGAGTACCCACATAGAGTACTGCTTATTACCATGACTTGTATTCTTGAAAAGATGGCAGGTACGTACTACAGGAAGTCCATTCTCATGAGTCTTACAGAAACAGCTTGAATTAGGAAGCCAAATTGCTGCTTGCTAGTGAAAGGCAGTATATGTGTAAGTGAAAGAGTTTTACATTACAGGAAAGACAGCTAATGGGGGCAAACCCATGTTTTATATTTGTCACCTACTTCATGAAATCTTGATCTCTCTCATGTTAATGTTCAGTGGTGAGGAATTAGGTGAAGTGCATCCCCACTGTTCCATGGTTTTATTTTTAGGGCTTATGTCTCAGCTAAAGGTCGGCTTTTAACATCATTAAGGAGGAGTGCAAAGGCTGAAACTAAACATGAGCTTCCTACCTTTACACTTATCCCTCTGTCACTGGGGACTATCCTACAAAAAAGCTGCCTTCTTACCTAAGTGAGAGATTTTTCTGCACCTAGCAGTAAATCCCTTACTTTGCATTTTTCTTTTCCACTTATAGCCAAGTAAACATTACTTTAAAACTGTATTTTATAGTTAACCAATCTCAACCCTTCATCATTAACATTTTAAAGAACAGCACAAGTCCAACTGCTTGCTTCACTCCTAATGGCAAGGAAATCTTCAAGCATCCCAGACAAATGGAAGACTAAGGGATGCAGTAACTGGAGACTTAGCCAACCCAACTCTCCTCATCCATCTTCAGTGCTGCAACTATTAGTTACTGTTGACAGTAATCACTGCCTAGAGACTTGGCCAAATTTATCATGGTTTTGTCCTCTATGCTTCTCCTTTACCACTTGCCACTGTCTGGATTAAAGAAGCAGATGCCCTTAAGGTACAATCGCCTCCAAGCCAACCAGTCAGGGGCATGGAGGAATAACGTGACCTACACGTTTTGTCCCTCACAGTTACATACTCCACAGACTGAGCTCAGGAATTCCATGGTCCTTGGCTCAAGGCCTGGAAACTTGAGTCTTTACCAAATGCCAGGCCTCCTACTGAGGGCAAAATTAACCTCAGTCTACAGGTCAAAGCAGTTTGATTTCCCTGTATTTTGCAAAATCTTGCTTTAAGGATAGAAGGTTAATGAAGTTGTCTGGGTAGAGGCATCTGAGACCACTTGGTAGGTATTTTAGTTCTGAAAGGTTGTTTGTTTGTTTTAGTTTTTTTTTTTTTTAAACAACTCTAATGGGGATTATGCAATCCAACAATTGTTCCTCTTTCACTTATCACTGCAACCTCCTCCCTAACCACAGATAACCTCTAATTTAATATTTAACAGTAGTTTAGAATTAACAAATTCATTTAAAGGTTCCTCACGACAAAGGAAGCAGTTTGTAAGACTAATAATGCAATGGTCTTAATAATCTGTAAAGTCCTCAACTTCCATTTGCCTCTACGTTAAATATTAAAATTGCAGTTCAACATTACAATCAAGGGAATCAATAGCATCTTTATAAGGATCACTAGCACATCTCATCTGGCTTTTTGGGACTCATTCTTCAAGAGATTAGCAAAAGGTCACGTTCACTCCACCCCTTCCTTTCACGGTATCCATGGACCTTCCTGTTCCTTTGTGCTACATCTTTTTCCTCCATCATTATTCCAGTGCTTTTAGCACCTGCTTCCAACTACTTCTTAGTACCTTCTACCAACCATCAGCAATCAGGAGTACTTTTACAGTTTAACTATGCTAAATGAAAACTAGCTAGTTAATATTTAGTAAAGAAGCTAGCTAGTACTGAAGAGAAAAAACTGCTCTACATCCCTTAAACTTTTATAAACTAAAAGAGAACAAAAATGGCAGAAGCTTTCCTGTAACAAAGAGGTATCCTTGATTCAAACTTTTTAAAAGGTAAACAGTGCAAACCTCTGATTCTGCATTGTCATTTCAACTCCTCTTTACTAACTGCATCAAAACGACAGTTCACATTGTGTAGTCAGCAGAGAAAAAACACACAAAGTTGCACAGAGATTGTCTAACATCTTTGTATCCTGAGCCAAAAAGGGCAGAACTTACACTGTACTTTTGAGAATGAGTTTAAAAGGAAAATGACTAGTTTAATGTTTGCCCAATTTTATAACAGCTACAATGAAAACAATAAAAAATTTTCTTCCATTTAAAAAAAGTCATTTTTCATGGAAAAACTTCATTCTGTGTATAGACCAACTCACCCCTGCCTCCAAACTAGCAACGCATTTTTATATGCATGCTTGACCATGAGCAGGTTAACTATAATGAGAAAAATCTACACTGATTTGCATAGGTTATCTAACAATATAGGACCATGTTAAAATCTGGTCAACTGAAAATGCCAGCTGCAACTTTGATGTCCATAAAAGCAAAATAGCTCAAAAAATACCTGCACAGAGCAAGGTCACTTCAGTGAGTTAACATTCACACCTTTCAAACGCTGCAAACTTTTATTAATGGCAAACTTATTAATCCACACTGTTCTGAAGAAGAATTCACAAGAAGCAAATGAAGACTGAGACCATCTGACCCTCTAAACTGTGCATATAGACTGCTCAGCATGTTATCAGTTTACTTCTCAAGCTCTACTCAAACGCAAAGCGCAGAGCAGCAAAAAAATCCCAAGACCTTTGGTCACTTCCAGTGCTCCTATTCTCAGGCCTGCAGGCATCAATAAAATGGGAAAGTCAAACAAAGCTCATGCGTACACTTTGAAAAGCCAGCAGTAGTCAGAGGTTTCCACCTGGAAGGAAAGATGTGCACCAGCTCCTTACTGCATCAGCCAGGGGACTGGGGGGAAAAAAGAGAAAGACTGACTTTGTAAGGGCTGCCTCCACCCACTTAGTTGCAGGCTCCGAATGCTGTGTTTAGTTCAGTACATGCTGGGCCTTCAGTTGGATCTTCAAGATTCCTATTTGTCTGAATAGACAGGACAGACTCAGGGTAAGTTAGATGAGCACAGCCTGTAAGAGGAGTGACTTTGTTGGCGAAGAAAAAAAAAATGCACAGAGGACAGACTACCGCTGCAAACTGAACATCATCAGTAGCTGTTGGTGGAGAGATCAAGAAAAAGAGCAAACAGTGAAGGAAGTACAGCAGAAAGTATGCTGAGATATGCTACGGAAGAAACTACATGGAATGAAGTAAAAAGTGAACAAGATCTATTAATGTCTACTGTCTTTTTTGACTAAGCTCTCTCCAAGGCAAGGAGTGACTTCTCTCCTGTCTCTGTGCAGCCCCCTGCACAACAGCATGCAACTTACCTGCTGGTGTCCAGGGCATACTGCAGAAACAGCAAATCGCAGCAAGAGACTGAGGCAGCAAGCCAGCCTGCCCAACGGGTTTTAAGAAATACACAGTTTGTTCAGGAACTAGACTGAATAACATAATGCTCCTAGGCCTCTCCAGATAACAACTAAGGGGAGATGAAATGAAGTGGTGGTGCTGGGCTGCACCAGGCAGTTTGGAAAAAGCGGCAGTTAGATTTGTGCTACTACGATAAGAATCTGTAATAAAAACCAATCGACCACATCACAGACCAAACGAAAGTACTCACAAGAACACAACCATTATTATTAATTACAAACAGTACTGTATTTTGGTGGTGGAAATACAATCTTAAGTTTGCCTGAATTGGTATCACATCCCCTTACTCGTATCCTGGTCAACCATTACATTTGTAACATAAAGGTGAATGACAGACGCCTCGAATCATTAATCTACTGAATAATAAGGACAGAGTGCTGGAGACATCGCCAGTGTGGAAGCCAGAAGGAAGCAGCTACTTTGGGAGTCTCTGGCCTCCTATATGGAGATGAAACACTTCACATTTCACAGACAAACCTGTTGAGTGCAACTCAAAAAATTTTTAAAAATTATTAAAAAAAAAAAAAAGTTTTTCTTCTCAGTACATCCTCCAATTCTGCAATACAAGCAGAAGCACTGCGACAGAACTACTGGTTACCCCAAATCACTATTTTCAGCTTAAATATGAAACAAATATCCTGGGCAGTATTGAAAATCTGAGTAAACTTTACTTACAGATTCATTGCCTGTGGGCAAGTTCATATTCTAGACACCTACGAAAACTGGACAGGCACTACATGCATGTACACCTAACTCTAAACCTACGCTGTACTGGCCCACATACCGTCAAATATTCAACATAACAGCTACAAATGTTTTTGGAATACTATTAACCTGTGTTTCTGCCACAGTCAGAAAGATTTTGTAATATATGGTGTGGACCACTGCCAATGTTTTTTGCTTTTCTACTCTCAAACACACATTGGTGCTCTTGGCACCAGTTTTTTTGGAAATATTACAGGACTGCTAAGTATGTTCCATATTTAGGCTAATTGAGTATTTTATATAACCTTTACATTACAGGAAAACCCCAAAGAACAAGGGGAACCAAAACAAATAAGCAAAAATCACCAAGTCAACCAGGAAGAGAATTTAAAAATGAGAAAACCTTACTTGCAGAAGTAAAACCACTATACTAGTCTGATATAAAAAGGACAAACATTCAAATCTTTACTTCGCCCACAATATGGAAGGAAATAAGCTCTTTACACTCTTTTTTTTTTTTAAAGTACATCTACAATACTGAACATATTTCTAAATGCCACATCTTTAACCTCTCAACACTTAGACAGATCTACACTGTATCTACCCATAGTCAGGAGACTTCTAGAAAACCCTTTTTAAAGTTCTGTTTTGTCGCAGTTGACTTCTTCCCATTCATTTAAGGTAGTTGCTACTAGAGGTTTGCACAAAGTTGAATCAGGGACACTCCAACCATCCTTAGAAATGATGGTCATCTGTCATACACAGCAGAACTTAGTCGACTAAGTTCTGTGCACACACACACATGCACAAGTATTAACATATTTAACATTGAATTAGCAAACTTACTTTCGCGCATCTGCAGACCGTTTCCGGACTCCTTGCAGATCCTGTGAGATATCTTTCCCAATACTATTTAAGATGGCATCATCTTTATTTACAGAATCCTCTTTTATTCTAGTTGTAGAACAGATAGGCTCTTCAATTTTCGGATGCCATGGCTGCGTGTCCTCTGGAAAGGTATTTGCGTTCTGTAAATCCGTTTCACATCTGTTGGGTTCATCTTGGAAGGTAGAGGGTTTAGATTCTACCAAAGAAGATTTTGTTGCAATATTAAATAAGCTTCCAAGAAAATGAAAAAAACCTTCTCGGGGTTGCTTGTCTTTATCTGCTGTTTTAGTTCCAGGAGTCAAACTAGGAAGGCTATTAGCCTTTTTCAGCTCCTCCTGGATTTCAGACTTGCTAAGTTCTTCTGTGGAATGGTTCTTCTCTTCATTTTGACAAACCTAAGACAAATACAAGGAGCACATAAAGAAGATGATTCTTCTCATTTTCCCACATTCCTAAATTCCTTCATTTTAATTTCCTCCTATGCATTGTACTCCTTTCAGGAGATCTGTTGTTTAAAACTTTGTTAATTTTAAGATCAAGGCCCTGTGCCGTCTTCTTCTCTTCTTGTACTAAAAAGGTCCGTATCCTACAAAAAACCAAAAGGACTACATAGGCTAGAAGATTCACAAAGTAGCTGTTCTGGAAGTAAACCATAGAAGGACAGATGGAGAACAATTGCTTCAGCTGGCAGAAAAAAAAGCCCCAAGGAAGAAGCAAGGAACAATTTTTCACACCATTGTATGGCAAGTAAACAGGACTTTCTTACTCAATAATAGGGCACACTGAATTTTATTTACCCACATGTATGTCCTGCCACAAGGAGATTATGAGATTAGGTTTAAAACAGAACTTGAAATACAAAGACCTCATTCAGCTTCCGCAACTCTTTCTTAAAAGAAACGAAATTACACACTGGCTTATTAGCAGACAGTTGATTTTACTACTGTTCCTGAAACTTTTTACTTTTGTTACCGCTTAGCACTAGGGGCCACCCGTCTGCAGCAAGGACATGTCCTGGCCCCGCCACGCATTACACCAGTAGGAGGAATCTCACAAATTGGGAGTCTCACAGCCTTGCTCTTTCAGGTTATATTCTGAGACCAATCCAGGTGTACCATAAAGTACTTCAGAGTCTAATCTGCTCAAAAAGCACAGCTTCATGAACAAATCTATACGCACGTGTGAGATGAACAGTTTTCAGCTTGCACATAAACGCAAGTACACCACAGTAAAGCACAAACATAACAGTCTTAAATGTAGGGTAATCTGCACTTTTAAGAAAAACAGGAGACTCAAGAACAGAATTTGGATAAGAATAACTCAACTCATTTGTCAGAGATTAATCCTGTCTGCAATCCTCAGCAACCACATGATGCATATTTCGGCTAGCTCTCCTCCAACTCCACAGGCAGTTAACTGCACAGCTTTATTTCCAAATCTATTTGGAGTCTCACACAACTCCATACTCTACCATGCTCAAACCACACAGTTTTTCATACAGCCAAAGTCCTACACAGCACTAGCCCTGCACCCACAACCTTCTGAACTGCCTATCAGCTGTATCAGGTAGCTGAAAATTATTAGTACTAAGGCAGGGCTTCACCTCATTTAAACCACCTGTTCACTTCTTCCCTCAACTCAGCCGAGCATCCACCCCCAGGGGCAAGAGAAGCTCTGTTCCTCACCAATTTATGCCCTATAAACATTTCCATTAATTACTACAATATCTATGAAATTAATAGCTCAATGCATCAACTACAAAAAATAGTACACTCAAAACTTGTCAACAGTTTAGTATTATGGGGATTTTTTGTGGGTTTTTTTGGCGGGTTGTTGTTTGTTTTCTTGGGGTTTTTTTAAAAGTCTTTTTTATTTAGGAACTAGTGGGGTTTTCTCCTATTCGGAACTGAGACTCCAAATACGGCTAAATCTCTACATGTGAAATTCTTCCCCTAGCAGCTCTGAGACGTAACACTCGCAAAGACTGTGCTTCTTATTTGTGAGCACAATTCATGCCCTGCATGAAAAGCTGTTTTGTAGTCTCTGTTTCCAGAAACCGAAATCTATTTAGACTTTCCTTCCTCTTTAATCTTCCTTTCCTTATTTAACTTTTAGTAAATCAAAAGAACAGGAAGTTTTAATTGAAGAGGTCCTTCCATACCTTTAACCATAAATAGTGTCTTGCATAAAAAAAGCCCTGGAGAACATTTACACTGTGCGTACTTGAAGGTATGTGTGGATATTAAGTCCCAACACAGAAGCTATGCACGCCTTTCTTTCTTCCCTTCAATATCATCAATCCTACTCTCCATACATTCTCCCTTCTGGTCTGCTTTGCCTTTGCTATAAAAGACAGCATGAGCTATTGGTGTTTCATCATTTGCCCATAAAATGTCAATCCAAAGTTTGAACCCCTGTTTAAAACATTATACAAACAAAACTGTTCCTGTTACAGATTTTGAAGTTCGTATTTTAAGGTAATGCCATATGCAAATTACTGAGACGAAAGCACATGATCTGAAATCCAGTAAGCTTTTAACACAGCAGGAGCCTTCAGGCACAAGCGCCTGACAAACGTAGCACTATGATGGCAATTTCACAAGCCAACATTAAGACAACTTTCACTTACTATTTGCCAATACTCTCTGCGAGCTGATCTCTGACAGAAGCCCACAGCAAATGCTCAGGAAAAAAAGGGAAGGGCACAGGGTATGCGCAAGGCAATCCTTTGCCTGGTATATCCCACCAGTTTTCAACAGTCAGGGCCTTTAATTGACCTCAACAGAGCAATTGCATTTGTGTCATAATTAGGCTTGAGCAGTTTGATATTCACAACAGTGGAATACCAGCGACTCTTATATTAGTTACACTTCATGTCATCGGTTAAAAAAAAAAAAAAATCCTCTTCCAAAGTCATGGCAGTCTGAACAGTTTGCCAGGCTTACCACGCAAACAATAGCTTTTGGATGAAAACCTACCTGTCAGATCCCCTTTGAGATCCTTGCTGATGCAAGGAAAAAAGTTTTCCTGCCGTAGTGTTGTCTTTCCGCTCCTTTCGTACACAGACTGTCATCAGTCTTCCCCCTGCCTTTTCTTTGTCATTCTCTGTGAGCTTTCCCACTTGTGACACGCTTCATAAACCTTTCATTAGCTTTTATTCCTTTAGCAACTCATTACTCAAAGTCTCACTGGGCAAGCCCTGGGTAACCTCACCTGACCTTATAGATGAGCCTGCTTTAAGCAAGAGGTTGGGCTAGATGACATCCTGGGGTCCCTTCAACCCGAATTATCCTATGGTCCTGTGACCTCACATGCAATGAGGCTGGTGCGGAGGGGAAACTTGGCAGAGCGTGAAACAAGATTATGACTTTAATCAGGTGACTGAAGATACTGCAGTGATATCCAGAGCTGTATCTACTGTGCAGTCAGGTAGCGCAGTCTCACCTTGCTGGAGCAACTGCTGCAGAGAAGCTTGGCGGCCGGGACTCAGAAAGACAATCCCACAATGTCATGTCTCAAGTGTGATTCTTATCTGAGCTAATTTATTCAACAGTAGACTAGGTATGTTTTCCAGGCTGTAATCCACTCCTGACTGTAGCACAGACATACGCCCAAAGCCTAATTGCACCTAGGCAGCCAGGCACAAGGTTTGCTACTAGGGTGAACAGCCACCCCGAAGTGGAGAGAGCAATTCCAGCAGCGCAACAGCACCCTGAAGAGGGCCTGCTCTGCCAGGTTTGCCTCACCTCCCGTGCCAGCTGGGAGCAGCCGCCCTGGTAGCCGCTGTCTCTCAGCAGTCAAGTGGCAAAAGTTCAAATTGCCAGAGGTTCTCATTCAGCAGGGGTTACGTCTGTCTGCCAAGAATACAATCACTTTTATTGGCCTAACAACTGAAATGAAAACATTAACAGCATTAAACCACAGATCTCCGTGAACAAAGAATTAGCTTCCAGCCACAACAGCCAGACATTTCGGATTTCTCTCCCCATGAACGAACGCTCATTATGAAGCAGAAATTCCAGACAGCCGCGTGGAGACCTCTCAGAGACCGCCTGTCCTGCTGCACTGGGAGCTGCTGCTGGAGGACATTCTGCATCCTGTGCGGGTACACTTGTGCACTTTAACTACCCCATCTCACCTGCAGTTGTGAGAGAAGACGGCTGATCATCACGGTTTTAGGATCATCACTGATTCAGCCCAGGGACCTTTGACAAGCCATTTAACCCCAACATCCCAATTTACTCATCCCAGAAACAGTCACAGCACTACTGCAGAATTTCTGTTTGCTCGTGCCTTTAATAGTTTAAGAGTCTCAGATTAAAGCGTTGGGTGCACAGAGTAACGTGTTCAGGCACTGCCAACTCTAAAACCGGAAAATTAACCATGTTCCTAGCCTTAGCTTTGACCTTTCATCATAGCTAAGATGGCTGCATTTTATTTAAGAATTATGAACACCTCATTCAATTTGAGCAGCGATACAGTATGTAAATTTTGTATGCTAAACAAAATCCACTGTGAAACAGCCTGAGTTGCTGACAGACTAGTACATTCCCACAATGAGTCACTACTGCATGTTTTGCAGCAGATTTCCCTTCTCTGGGAGGCTAAAGAATCTTTGGTGTCATCTCCCACTTGTTCACAATGAGTGGGACACACTGAGGTACATTAGCTGAAGAAACAAAAGCTTCTTTCATCTGTAGATCTACTGCGAGGAAAAGAAGTTAGGCATTCTCAACCAACTGGAGGCAATAGATACTGAAATCTAATGAAAAAGAACCAGACATAGTGAGAGATAGATTAGGAACAAGATTTGTTTAAGAAAATTGGCATAGTATTAAGAAAAATTCAGGAAAAAATACTATCAGACAGCGAAATACACAATAAGCAGAGAACACCTAGAAGTCCACTGTTCCTAGCGTTCATAAGAAAAATGGATTTAAAAAACATGGTGTCAAAGTGAGTTTTTCCTATTTATGCCAGTAATTAAGAGTGGTGATGGAGATGACACAAAGGAGTTCCACCACTGACAAAAATTGTTTAGTCTTAATTAAATAATACCTTTTAAATAATCAGAAAAAGCAAAACCCCAAAGATTAACAAAGACAGCCTTGAGGTTTTGGGTAGATTTAAGTCAAAGGCGAGTTCTGTATCTCTACAAATAACCAATGCTTTGAACCCCTGAATATTTTGGCTTTTTTATACTGTGAAGTTTTCCTTCCATATCCTCCTTTCTCTGCTTGTTTTGACATGAAAAAATCAGGTCATGACAACCCCGGAAGACAAGAGTAACTACAAAACTAATGAAATCATGGCATCTTCATAATTAGGAGTAAAAGTCAAACAACAGCAAGGGACTTTTAGTTAAACTGTATCAGTTTTGCATTTTAAAAAATAAACCTACTTAAATTCAATGAGTATTCAACATTCGGAAGGACAACTGCCTCTGTTGAAAGTTCAGCACCGGGACTTTGAAAATTTGTTTATCCATCTGAATTCCTGAAACACCAAGAAATCCTTAACGTAGATTTAATTTGTCAGACGAGGAAAGAAAAGATGAAGCAAACATTCTCTGAAACTCTAGGGTTCACCTAAAATCTGAGGAAGTGTCCAGACTCACCTTCCTCAACAAGAGAGCAAAACATAAGGTGGTAAGGGTGAACACTTCAAGTGAAAAGATAGAGAAAAAGGAGGTACAATCTGAAACAAAATTTCTGCTACGTCACCTTTACAGGGAATTGTAAACTCAGTGAAAGCCTGTAGAATGACAAAGTGAACTTCATAATTTAAAAAATTCTGTTTACACCATTTGCAGAATTACTTCAAGATTTCTTCCTTCTGAACTTTCTCCTGAAATTACTGTAAAGCACTGATTATAGACAAGAACTGGTACTCACTTCTCAGTATGTAACCATTACCTTATTACTACAAGGTCTAGTATGGAGCCAGAGAGAACAGAATGAAATTGTCTGTCTCATTTCTGTTCTTTCCTCTAAACAGTATTACACTTCTATTACCTTTTAATGAAACTGTTTTCACAAACATGAAATAATTTTTATTCTCTTTTACTTGGCGATTCCCTGACATTTGAAAATAAATTTAAAAATAACGGTGAAATTCACCTTTTCAATGCAGAAGGCGTGCAGAAGTAGGCAGTACACTGGAAATGGGGTGAGATAGTATGATTTCCACACATACTTATATTCCGTTGGCAGGCTATAGCATCTGGCACCACACTTCTGCTTCTCGGCTGTCTCCTCGGTGGTTTTCTGTGCCAAACTAAGCATGGTTTAAGCCCATTCTTTCTTTCTCCCATCCTGAAACAAATCTCCCTGCTCCAGATCACTTATTTGAAGAACGGACGTAAGCACATTTCAGGATCATCCTTTCTAAAAATCTTCATGATGACAAAGAAATTTACCATGACTTTAGATAGGATGCTCTTGAAATGTCTTCCTGAACACATACAGCTGTTAACACCATTAACTTAACATAGTGTCCTGGGAAGTCAGAAGGTGCTATGTCCTCACCTATGAAGTTCCATTTCAACAGAAGTCTACATTATTGCCAAAAAGATCTGTTTTCCTGTTCCACAAGAGAAATCTTGGTTATGCAAACTCCAAAAACATTTTGGTTTTGTCTTTCATTCACTGTTGTGTGCAGCAACAGCAACCTTTTTAAAAAGTAATTCTCAGTTTTTTAAAAATTTAGGGTTGGCAGTAACAGTCCACCTCCCTTGACTTCCAGAAGACAAAGAACCGCGCTCTCTGATTTCTAATCGCTAGGTTTAAGACCGAGGCATTCAGCAGGCGAATTTCACACACATGCTAAGCAGATATTACTTAGATAACATACATACGAAATAAAGACAATATAAAATAAAACCATGACAATATGAAACAAAACCATGCTATACAAAAGGTATGAAGTTAACTAAGACACTGGGCTTCATTTTGCTTTTTAACTTTTTGTAGAACTTAAAACTAATTATAAAGTCAGAATAAGGGACATCCAGTAAGAACAGCTACATATATTCACCAAGTTCATGGAATTTTTTTTAAACTTATGTGAATTCATACACCGGATGAAAAATGATCTGACAGAATTACAGAACAAGTTAGGCTGAAAGAAGCGTGGCTGGGGAGGTCATGTAGTCTAAGCCCCTGCTCAAAGCAGCTCCAGTTAGAGCAGGCTTCATCCAGTTGCATTTGGAGTATTTCCAAGGATAAAAATTCTGCAGCTTCCTGAGGCAACCTGTTCCAATGTCTGATGACCCTTACAGTAAAGGGGGAAAAAGGAAAAAAAGAAAAAAAAAAAAAGAAAATTCTTATATGTGACTGGAATTTCCCATGTTCTAACATGCACCCATTGCCTCTTGTCCTATTTATTGCAACTCCAGGAAGAATCTGGCTCCATCTTATCACATAAGTGCACTCCTTGCTGTCAAATTTTAATACTGTGTTTACTGTTTTAATACAACCATCGTTATGGTACTTGGAAATGAAATTCATGTGAGAATGCAGGGCTACAGAATAATTTCTTCTCTGGGTTCACAGTATACAGGAGTATTGGCAGACAACAATATGCAACAGGTTTAATTTATAGCAAGGAAGCTTTAGATGGGATGTTAAGAAAAAGACTTTCTAATTACAAGGTTTATGAAATTAGTAGAACAGTTGTCTGGTGAAGTTGCAGAGATCTTAAGAGGTCCCCATCCCTGGAGGTCTTTGAGAACAAGTCAGACAAACTTCTATCAGGTACGACATAGATACAGAGATCTCACCTTGGGGCAGAGGAGTGGACTAGATAATCTCTGCAGTACTTTCTACCCCTGTGCTTTCTACGAAGGTTGAGACTGTCTCTGGTTAATTCAGGCAACTAGTATCCAGGCTTCAGCCCATGGGCCAAATTGTAAAATACTTAATGCTATTCAAACATAGAAGTCTAAAAATTATACGTTTGGTGTATCACGTTTGTACCTACTTTTTCAAACTTCTGCGTTTGCTTGACAGAGCTCACATGGTAGTTCCTGTGCTGAGAAGCTTAAGAATTGCTTCCTAGTCAGTTATGGGAGAATGTGATATTTCCTCCATGCACCGCTACAGGAAGGCTCTCTACGGACAATCAGCAGGCAAGTGAATTTGCCTAACCTGTCATGGCAAAGCTTTCAGTTGGATGAGAAACTCAGACAGGGCAAGCCTGGGACCTAAGCCGTTCACTACTACTGAAACTAACCAAAGCATCTATCACTGCTGCTGCTACTACTACAGTATGGCATGACGTGTAGGAGCCAGGTTGCACTCGTGGCAGGAGCACATCCAACAAGAGTGTTGTGTGATTTCTTCAAAACCGAACTAACAAGACATCCTCCAGCATGTGACTCGCTACAGTAGAGGTGTAAGCTTATTTGGTCACTGTTCCACACAATTGAACTTATACCTATGTATGTCACATTGTAAACCTCTGTTTTAAGGGCTTTACCAAAAGCTGCGAAAGAGGCCGTCGCATACTTTTGCAGGAAGCATTGTTGCAACATTCCTTTTAAAAACAAAATCCCTGCAGCACTAAAAGTGAGGTTAGTGGTATACTAACACGTACTGGACACTAGGCAATGCAGATACTTAGAACACTAAACATGAAGTTCAAGAACTGTTTACAACCACATAACCATCTGTTCAACAATGTCATCGCTCAAATCGAGCATTTACTCAGAAAGAGCACTGTTTACAGCTCTAATTCAAAGAAACGCCAAACAAAAGCTGTAAATAAATAGTGGTGGGTGATGGTGTACTTTCTGGCAATGAATTAATAGACATGACAAATACATTTCAGAAATATTTTCTCAAAAGTGATCAATGATGACTGATAAAGTCACCTTGACACAGAAATATTAGGCTTCTTATTTTCATAAGGTGAGTATTAAAATACCTTTTCCTCCCTCCATGAGCTAACTATTTCATCACAGGGAAAAAAAATAGCAGGGGTAAAGTATAGAACTGGTAACTAAAGTGCTCAGAAAAGCCAAAAAGCTACCGTAGCTCAGCACATTTCCCAGCTCTACTCACCCAGTCAGCTATAATATAGATGTCCGACCTTCGCTGCTAAATCAGACACTTACAGTTCCCCCATTATTTCTCCCTGGCCTCCTGCTGAGACAGTCAATGAACATAC